AGGGAAGAAGGAGGTGGGGTCCCTGGGAGATAAAGTTCTTAGTCTAATACCCTGAAAAGAGAACTTTGGGGCAGCCCTGGGCTCTTGCTTATCTCTAAGGGAAGGTATGTCTTTACTGTCTCAACCTAGTAATCTCTCTTGAGCTTCAGTGCCCTGGTTCTTAAAATGAGGATAATAAGAATTGCTTTGATGACCTTGATAAGGATCTCTTGATAGAGTGGTAGAGATAAGAGCCAGGGAATGGGTTGGAAAGTGAATAGGTGAGGAAATGGGGATTAACTACATTTTCAGTCTTTTTCAGAAGTTTGAGAATGTAGTCTGGGAATACAGTAGAAGCTGGAGGGCAGTGCAATGTTAATGAAGGTTTTGTTTGTTAAAGGTTGGGAAATAACAGATCACTGGACTATGTAGGGGAGAAGTATCTCTAGTAGCAAGGGAGAACAAGATAATGTAGAGGAGACTTTAAATGAAGAGGTAGAGTGATTGGTGCTAGAAAAGGAATTTTGTAAGGTTAGCACTGAAGAGATAAAATGTTGTATCCAATAGCTTTCTAATTTTTTTCCCCCTCAGTGGAGTATAATGTGGGGATGTTCACAGAGACATAAGCATTATGTACGAGTATTGGGAGTGAGGACACCAATTGGAAGAGAGGAGAGAAAACAGGACATAACAGGAGTGGGGAAGTGTTCCAGAGTCGTGGGCAGGCTTTAGAATTCAGCCGAGTTGGAGTTGATAGAATTATAGTGAAGTCACTCTCCTTGGCTTTGAGACTCCCATCTCTGAACCCTCCATCTCCATTTCTACTGCAGTAACTTTTCCACTCTGTTTTTGTGCATTCTAATATCTCCTGAGGCATTCTACAGTCACACAGATGCCTCCCTGGGCTGTCCAAATTATCTGCAAAATACCATTATTATTTGTCTAGCTCTCTGATTACAGAATTGCATAGGTTTTAGGAAGTCTGTCCATATTTTTTCCCTTACAAATGAAATTTTGTAGAGAGATTTTTCAGAGATGACTGTATTGTCTTCATCTCCATATAAGGTCATTGTAGTTGACTGAATATGTCTCCCTAAATATGTATGTTGAGATATTAACCCCCGATGTGATGATATTTGAAGTAGGGCCTTTGGGAGGTAAGTAGATCATAAGGGTGGAGCCTTCATGAATGAAATCAGTGCCCTTGTAAGAAGAGAACAAAGAGCTAGCTACCTCTCTTTCCACCATGTGAGGAGTTAGCCATCCAAAACCCTGAGGAGGATTTCCTCAGAACCCATCCATACTGGCACCATGATCTTGGACTTCTAGCCTCTAGAACTGGGAGAAATAAATGTTTATTGTTTAAGCCATCAAATCTATGGTACTTCATTACATGAACTAAGAATGGCATGGTTAGTTTTTTACATCCTAGAATTTTAAAAACTTTAATGCAGGTTGATAACTTATATCATCTTCCTGGCAGGTAAATGAAGTTTAGAAGAAAGTGCTCACAATATTCTCTGATGCTGGGTCCTGCCTTCCAGTGAAGGTCTTCATTCCCTTCCTGTGTCAGAGTCTAGGTTCCTGGAAACGAGAACCTGATGAAGTAGAGCCTACCTGCCATTGTCTTTGTGCTCATGATCATACTCATTAAAGGCATTTCTTGCACGTTCCTCTGTAGCTATTTACAAACCTATTTGTACAGATAGTCTATTAAGAATTTAACAATTTAAGAAAACAGTGAACATGAACATAAATATTGTATCTGTGGTAACATGCAAACAAACATGAAAAAAATTCAGTCTTATGGAATGTTTTAGAATGAAGAACCACAGAATAACCATACAAGTGTTGTGCTTAAACTGTATCTGCCAAGGTAACTGTGTTTAGCAACCCCAAGGAAAAGGGACATTAGCACTTCGGAGTAATTACTATTGTGTACCAAGACTTACTAGGAAAATTTTTACTGTCATAGAAATTAATGATAACACAAAATAACTTTATTTCATCATCCTAGGTTTCTTTGAGGGATCATATAGCCTAGTTGCTAAAATCCTGGACTCAGGTGTCAGGATCAATCATTTGCTAATTGCGTGACCTTGGGCAACTTACTAAAATGTTCAGTGCCTGAATTTCCTGATGAGCCAAAAAGGGATAATATGGCACATCCCTTGTAGAGTTGTTATGAAGATTAAATGGGATAATATATATAAAATACCTAGATTATGCCATGGTAAGCTTATAGAGCTTAGAGGTTTCTCGTTAGAAAGATATTATACACTTTACAGACCTCAGAGGTAGAAAATCAATAAAGACCTAGTTGAACATAATATCCCATCAGTCAACTAGATATAATCGACATGTTCAGATTACTTTATCCAACAACAATAGAATATATATTCTTCTCAAGCTCACATGGAACGTTCACCAAAATAGACCACATTCTGGGCCTTAAAACATAACAGATTTAAGTGAATAGATCTTATATTGTTTGCTCTCAGACCATCGTAGAATTTAACTTGGAGATCAATAATATAAAGATAAGTAAGAAATTTCAGGGTGCCTGGGAGACTCAGTGGGTTAAGCCTCTGCCTTCAGCTCAGGTCAGGATCTCAGGGTCCTGAGATCGAGCCCCGCATCAGGCTCTCTGCTCAGCAGGAAGCTTGCTTCTCTCTCTCTTTCTGCCTGCCTCTCTGCCTGTTATGATCTCTGTCTGTCAAATAAATAAATAAAATCTTAAGAAAAGAGAAGAAATTTCAAAATACAGAGGTTGAATAACATACTTTATAAAAGGTCAGAAAAGTATATCGAGAAATTTTGAGCTATTTTGAACTAAATGGAAACATGACATCAAAATGTCAGATGCAGAGAAAGTGATGCTTAGAAGAAAATGTAGAGCATTAAAAAAAGAAAGCCCTGAAATCAGTAATCTAAATTTCTACCTTAGGAAACTAGGAAAAAAAAAATCTGAAAGTAAGCAGAAGAAAATATGTAATAAGAATTAGAGCAGAAATTGGGGTGCCTAGCTGGCTTTTGGCAGAGTGTGCAACTCTTGATCTCAGGACTGTGGGTTCCAGCCCCATATTGGGTGTAGAGATTACTTAAAAATAAAATCTTAAAAAGAACAAAAACCAAAACAAACAAAAACCACAGAAATCAATGAAATTGAAGATCAGATATCAGAGAAAAGCCGTGAAACCAAAATCTGGTTCTTTGGAAAGATCAATAAAATTGATAAACCTCTAATGAAGCCGAGAAAAGGAGGAGGTTACAAATTATTAATATCACAAAAGAGATACCATTTCACATCCCTTGCACATTTAAATAATAACAAAATACTATGAATAACTCAATGCCCATGGCTAGATCTGTTAAAGATATCAGTTAATTGCCTTTCAAAACAAAGCACCATGCCCAGGTGGTTTACTGGTGAATTCTGCCAAACATTTATGGAAGAAATTATGCCAGTTCTTTATAATCACTTTCAGAGGATAGAAGCAGAGGGAATACTTCCTACCTTATTCAGTAAGGCCAGCATTATCTTAATATGAAAACCAAGCAAAGGCATGAAAAAAAACAACTACAAATCAGTATCTCTCAGGAGCTTAGATTCAAAAACCCTCACAAAATATTAGCAAATCAAATCCAGCAATCTATAGGAAGAAATCTACACCATGACCAAAAAGGGATTATCACAAGTATGCAAAGTTGGTTCAACATTCAAAAAATTGAGTGTAATCTATCACATCAACAGGCTAAAGAAGAAAAATCAGCTGATTGTATCAATAGAGGCAGAAAAAGCATTTGCTATGACCCAGCACCCATTCACGATAAAAAACAAAACAAAAAACCTCTCAGTAAACTAGAAATAGAGAGAAACTTCCTCAACTTGGTAAAGAATATCTACAAAAACTTACAGTTAACATCATACTTTATGATGAGAAAGTGAAAGCTTTTTCATCAAGCTCAGAAACAAAGCAAGATGATCTCTCATTGTTCCTTTTCAACAATGTACTGGAATTCTAGCTAATGCAATAAGACAAGAAAATAAAAAGTATATGGATTGGGAATGAAGAAATAAAACTATCTTTGTTCACATCACCTGATCATCTGTGTAGAAAATGCAAAAGAATTGACAGACAAAAAACCTGGAACTAATAAGTAATTAAAGCAAGTTTGTATGATATAAGACAGGATATATGACAATCAGTTGCTTCCCTATATACCAGTAGTTGAACAAAAGGAACTTGAAACTAAAAAAACATCTTCCCCTCAATTTTGCTGGAAACCTAAAACTGCTCTAAAAGAATGAAATCTTTTAAAATGTATGTTGAAAATACAGAATCTGAGTTCAGACAATATTCTTAGCTTACCTTCCATCTTTTGACTTTTGAAGTGAATAGTTTGTTGTGATAACAATGAGTAAAAAAAAAATTCTCTTCAGACTTTTTTCCTTTAAAATATATTCTTTAATGGAGAAAAATGGAATTCTTTATTCATAATTTGATATATACTAGATAGTGGTCTTTTATGCCCAATGAGTAAAATAAATGAGCAATAAAAATATTGCTCACAAATGGATTTTGCTGTTTTAATGTTAAAAATAGATGTATAAGAGGTTAGGGACAAAAAGGGGTCGTGGGGAGGGGGCTGAGTATCCTTATAAAAAGGCAACATTGAGGGATCCTTGTGGTGATGGAACTGTTTGGTATCTTGACTATGGTGATAGATATGTGAGCCTACGAGGTGTAAAGTTCTGTAGGAATAAATACATGTACAAACAAGCATAATGAAATTGGGGAATTTCAAAAGACCAGTGGATTGTGGTAATATAAATATACTTATTGTGACATTCTACTTTGTGAAAAGTTATCATTGGGGAAACTGAGTAAAGTATACTCAAGATCTCTCTCAAAATCTTGTACAAGTCTACAGTTATTGCAGTAAAATTTAAAAATGCATGTGCAACTATTAAATAAAACTGTTAAAGATTTTTATTTTTTTTTATTTATTTTTTTTAGGTTGTTTCTGCCTCCTTGATAAGTCCTCATTGGATTTGTAAGTTGACACTTTAATTTTTTTACTCTCCACCCCAAACATTTTAATTTTCTAATTACATAAGCATAATTTTCTAGAGAACTTGGAGCAAAAATTGGAGCAAAACTCTATTATTTGGTTCCTACATTTTTTTTTTTTTTTATTGGGTTATGTTAGTCACCATACAATATATCATTAGTTTTTGGTGTGGTGTTCCAAGATTCATTCCTACATTATTTTAAGGTCTGTTTCACTTTTTCTGATATCATTAGGTGGTATTTACTTTGAGGAAGTTTGAGTACATATCTTAGGCTAGTGCCATCTGTTTTCTTGGAGTGACTTCCTACCAGGGTTATGATTAGTGGCAGTAAAGTGCCATCTGTGGAGCTGAAGTACATACATCCACCTGTTGAACATCACGCTCTTCACACAGAACATCTTTGTGGCTGTTAAGAAGGACACAACACCCTGGGAGAAAGCCACTGGTTTAAGTGGTTTGACTAGTGAGATGAAATGAATTCTGCTTCATTGACCTGTGAGAATCCGACAATTAGATGAAATGAGGGTAGTATTCCAGACTGGGAGAATTTAACTTTGTTCTCATTTTATCATTTGAAGTAACTCTCTTACTATTTTGTAACTTTTTCTTTATTGTATAGTGAAAAAAAATTAGAATTCTTGTTTTAATAATGGGTAGTTTTTTTTTTTTAATTCCATGAAATGCAAACATTTGAAGTAGGAAAATTTGGACCAACATTTTTAACTTGAGAAAATAAATTATTCTCTATATAACTGAAAACACATTACATTGTTAAGTGTGTTTACTTGGCCAATTTCTTAGAAAAGAGATTGTGTTCCCAGTATAGATATGAACCATAATATGCAGTCATTAGTTTTGATTTCTATATGTTGTCATTTTGATGAGGGACTAAAGTATGCTAAGCTAATTTCAAGGACATCTCTGAGAAATATTGTCTGAAGATGGCTTTGTTTTTCATCATGTTAGCAGCGGAGGATGATATTGTTACAAAGTAACATTTGGGGGATTTGTATTCTTTGACAGTATCATAATCAGTTTGAATCAAATCGGGTATTGTTTCACCTGTTTTGAGGCCACTAGGAAGACAATTCCAGTACAGTCTTCTCCAAAGTATATGCCTTGGAATACTCATTCCTTTGGATGTTAACTGATGTTACATGGGAAAGGGACCTGTGGTCATGTAAATTTGGGGAAAAAACTGAGTTAAAATTATATTTATTTCCAACAACTGATTATCTAAGGTGGCCAATGGTCTATGCTGTTTCTCAAATATATTTTCCAATATAACCTCAGTGTTATCAAATATGCCATAAGACTGGTGCTCCCTGAAATATTTTTGGGAAATAGCTTTAAAATTTAGGAAATTGGTAAAAATGACAGGATCCCTTATACATTTTTCACAATGATGGCAAAAGAAAATAAGGACATTTGAGTTAGAATAGAAGAAGTATAACAAAGACTTTGAAGTATCTTTAAAAAGTTGACATACAATTAAGCATTAATAATTATAGTTATAAAAATTTTTTTATCTTAAAGATAAAAATACGTATTCTTCCTTGTTGTAGTCACCTACCAATTCCTACGTCACTCTCATTTCTTGAAGATTTAACTCCTGGTTCACTGTCCTCCTCTCCAAGACTAATGTGTCTTAATTTTTGGTGGTTTTATGGCCATTTTGGGGTCCTTCCAACACCCTGCTTCCTCACTGCCTTAACTTCCTCTCTTTCAATGATTTTGTTTCCCAGGCTACTTCAGCCAAATCTTCTCATGGTCATATTGTGGACTTAGTCATTAGCAATAACTGTTTCCCCTCCATGATCTTGACTTTAGGCAACCCATTCTCTCCCAGTCTCCACTCCCACCAACAAATTTTTAACTCCACCTGGACATTTCCTTACTCAATGTAAATAGCCTCTACCCTATCGTTCGTTAAAATAACCCATTTATCCCCCTCTCTTATCCCTCTTCTTGCTTTGTTGTCCTTAGCTGTCTAAATCCCAAAGACATTATCTCTTGTATGCCTGTAGCTGCCCAGCCGAACACAGCTGGAGAAAACTACCTAGCCATTCTCACTAGTCTTACTTTAACTATTTTGATTACTAATCTCAGGGGGCCCTTAATGTGTTCTTGCAGCTTGGACAATTCCTAAGAAAATGTTTAAAACCTATTTCTCTATAAACTTCCAGTTCCTCTTCTCCTATTCTCCCTTTCACCTGATAACCCTATTTTCTTTTTCACTGATAAAATAGAAATGCCCAAAAGAGAACTTCCACAAGCACCCATCATCACATCTACCTAACTACATGCACCTGTAACTTACATCCTGCCTTCTCTTCTTTCCTCCCTGGGTGAACTCGAATCTCATCTAAAGCTTATTCTTGTACTTATGTTCTTAGATTCTTTCTTTTCCACTATTCAAGGGTATTGGTATAGCTTTTGTGGATGTCCCCCTTCTTTTACATGATTATTTAACTCCCATCCCTCCTAGTTACCAGTCCATCTCATTTCCATTTCCTTTTACACAATTTTTCAGTCTTTCTGTCCAATTTATCTTGATCCCATTTCAGTCAGGCTTGATCTCACCATTCTACCAACACTGTCTCGAGTGTCACCAATGACCTCCATGTTGCAAGTCTGACAGTTCTCAGTCCTCATCTTACTGGACCTATCAGTAGAATTGACCCCATCAGTTACACTCCTCCCTAGTGCTCTGAGTCTCCACACTTTCCCAGCTGCCTACCAGTTACCATGACCACTTAAATCAGTCTTCCATGCAAATACCTCTTCATTGACCTGATTTCCAAACACTGGGTGACCCAGGGCCGTTCCTGCACTGTTTCTCTGCCTACATTCACTCCCTAGCTAAGCTGGTTCAGTTTCATGACTTTAATACACATATATGCTTGGAACTACCAAATTTATATCTCCAGTATGAACCTCTCTCCAGAACTCCAGATTTAAATATCCAGCTGCTGAATGTCTGATAGGCATATCAAACCTAACATGTCCACAATGAGTTTCCTCTCCACTAACAGCCAGACTTTCTTCTTCCTTAGTCTTCCTAATCTCTAAATGGCAATTCTGTTCCTTCATTTTCTCAGGCCAGACTCTTTGGCACCACTATCATTTCTTCTTTTTCTCACCTTTTACGTATCTAGCTATCAGAAAATACTATCAGCTCTACCTTAGATATATCCAGAAGAGGACTGCTTCTCACTACCTCTTCTACTCTCATACTGGGGCAAACCTTCATCAGCTTTTTATTAAAGTAGCCTTCTTACTGGTCTCCCTGCTTTTATACGTTCTCCCCTATAATCTATTCTCCAAACAGCAGCCAGATAAATTATTTAAAACTCTTAACTCTGATCATGTTACTATTCTGCTCTAATGACTCTAGCCAGTGCTTCTCTTTCTAGAGGTTTATCAACTTAATATGGGTCCCCATTACTTCTGACCTAACCTTTTACTGCTCCCCCCCACTCACTACTTTAGCCATACCAATATCCTTGTTCCAAGTCAGGGTTTTGTAGCTAGTGTTGCTACAAAAAGCCGTAAGGCTTGCTTCTCACTTCCTTCAGATCTTTGCTAAATTGTTGTCACACTTAGGCTTTTCCTGACCAGCCTGTTTTGAATTGCCACTATTTCTCCTTGTCTTACCCTCTTAGTGCTCTGTATTTCTTCAGTACTTTAGTTTTAAATCACTGTCTGATTTATATTTTGTCTGTCTGACCTTCCTTTGAAGATGAACTCCACAAGGAAGGGAACTTTGTGTGTTTCATTCAGAAAGACGGATGTGGATTAGGGGAAAGGGATTGTGTAGTAGTTACTGACTTTGCCTAACATGCATTTCTCTTGTTGCCTCCTGACCACAAAGATGGGTAAGTGACTCAAATTGGGGCTGTCTTTGTATCTTTTCCTTCTGTTATTCTAGTCCTGGGATGGGATGGGATCCAAGCCAGGCCAACTGGATTTCAATTTTTCTGACTGGTGGTGGCAATAAAGAAATACATCCTATCTTGTCATGGGTCCTTTTAACTGTTAACAGACCATTAGACAAAAGGTAGGTATAGCCATATACTATAATGCCTTTGGCACGCTTAGAAAATTGCCCATATACTAGGTGACCAGAAAAATTAAAAAAAATATATTAGAGCAGATACAGGGGAGAATAAGAAAATTTTAAGTGAATACTATATAAAGTTCTATATAAATAAACTTTAAACTTTCAGTGTGTAAGACACTAAAAGTTATTTTGACCTAGTTTGCCTGTCAGGTTGATAAATTCTTCCTAATGTTCATGTAATAGTTACTTACATGCTACATGACTTCCACAGCTCAGAAAGATCAAATAGATATATTCAAGAGACTTATATAACCCTCATTAAAATGTAATGGCCAATGCAAAAATTTTTAAATATTGTCAGTTATGAGAATAAATATAAAATCTGCAAATAAGATTTTAAAAACATCTACTCTGACCAAATAGGACTTACCCTAAGAGTACAAAAATGATCCAGTATTTGGGGATCTTATGCATAAATGCACTGTACAACAATTTTTTTTGAGTCCTACAGGACATTTAGTAACATTTAACACTCATTTCTGGTCATTTATTAGGACTAGTACTTATTATGGATACAAAACATTCATTTCGAACCATCTGTACATTTATTAATAGTAAAGCTCACAAACATTTCCATCAAAATCAAGAGTCATAACATGATGTCTGCTAACATGGTAGAATAAGTTCTAGCCAGGCAGTGAGACAGAAAAGTAACAAGTATAGTTATTAGAGGATGAGATAACACTGAATTTTTTTTTTTTTTTAGGATTTTATTTATTTATGAGAGAGAGAGAGTGCGAACATGAGTAGTGGGAGAAGAACAGGGAGAGAGAAAGGGAGAAGCAGACCCTCTGCTGAGTGGGGGAGCCCGACGTGGGGCTTGATCCCAGGACCCTGAGATCATGACCTGAGCCCCAG